GGGGGTGGGTGTGTGTGTGTGTGTTGGGGAGTGCTGGAGATGGACTGTCTGGCAGAGGCCAGGCCCCTGGCCACAATGTGCAACACTGGACAGAGCTGTGCCCCACTGGGCACCGGCACCTGCACTGAGCACCCCTGCCTGCTGCTGCTGATGCCACCACTTGCCGGTGCTGTGTGCTATGGGGAAAGCATTGGGGGTGTCCCTGTCCCCCTCCACCACCACTCTCCTTCACACCCACAGGCTACCAACCCAAGCTCCAAACTGTTGCACTGCTGCACCCCTGGGCACAGGGTCCATGCTGCTACCAGCCTCAACCCCATTCTCCTGCCCAGTTGCAGCTCGGCCCCCGCCCCCATCACTTCCCTACCTGCTGCCCAGAGCAACTGCGAGGCAGGGGAAGCAGTACAGGCCCCAGTGGCTGCAGCAGCCCTGCTTGGAAGCTGCCCACTGGCCAGGCCAGGCCCTTCCACCCACAAGGGTGGGAGTGAGGTGCAATAGGGTATGTTTGGGGGGGTGTTACATGTGGGCACCTCATTTCCACCCTTGTGGGCAGAAGGACTGAGCCTCGGGTACAATTCACTAGTGGGAGCCATGGGCAGGCCAAATCCAGCGTGAGGGCTGTATTTTGCCCACCCCGATATAGATGCAAGAATTACAATATTACAGCTTATACCATTAACAGATACAGATACAAGTGTTATGACTGGCTACACTTTTGTTTCAGGGCTGCAAAAGCACTGCACCAAGAACAACTGAAATAGACTACCCTCCCCCCCCAAAAAACACCAAAAAACTAACAACCAACTCCACATATGAAGCAATTTTCTGATTGCCAAACAATCAGGTTATGTGCAACTTACAAACTAATGCACACATTCTGGATTTTGGAGAGTTGGATTGAAGAGAAATGAGTTGTTACAAACTCTCTGTAATTATACTTGCACTCACCTCAAAAATGAGAACCTGTGAGATGTGACAACATGCATTTCAGCTACAGAGATACGAGTATACAAGATGAAAAGATTTAGAAAAAAATTCTTGTTTATTCACCAATATACATTGACACAGAGGG